ATTAATTAATTAATGTAATTATTAAGCGTGATTATATGCTGCTGTGCTTATTGCATCATACAACAATAATTACATAAATAAAAAAATATGCAGCAAAAAAATAAGCTAAAAAAAAAAAAAAAGAAAAAAAAAAGAAAATTTTAGCTTATAAAATTGAGTAGTTGTAGATGATTGAATTTTTTTTTTTTTAAATAGGTTTTTATTGCTTTTATCTTATAAAAGTTATAAATCTTGAAGTTTGTGTTCGACTATTATTGTATGGATAATTGGTATTGATTTTTATTTATAAATAAATGACTGGTTATGTTTTATGTATATGTATATATATATATATACATATATACAATTGGCATTTAAATTAATAATGATTATTATTTATTAACCCTATCTTATATTCTAAATTTTGTTTCCTTACACACACACCCACACACAATCAAATTTAAAAAAAAAATCATTAATAAATTTATTATTATTATTATTATTATTATTATTATTATTATTTGTTTTATAAAAATGATTGATATAATTTTAATTTTTTTTTATTGATGTCGTATTTAAATTTATTCCACCTTCAAAAAAAACTTTAAAAAAAAAATTAAAAAAAAAAAAAAATGTACTAAATATTAATTTATTTAGTTTAGAATAAAATTATTAAAAAAAATTATTATTATTATTATTATTATTATTATCACATTGTGAATTACATAATAATTTATTATTAACAGGTGTATTATTAAATAAATAAAATGTTTTTTGAAATCATAAGTGGTTTTATTCGTTATTACAAAAAAAAAAAAAAAAATTAAATAAAGGATTTAAGTTTTAAATATTTTTTTTTTTTTTTTTAAAATTTATTTATTCATTTAAATGCATTTAATATATTTTTATTAGTGCTATAAATTATATTTTTATGTTTTAACCAGTTTATATTTATTAATTTTTATGCATATCTGACTTATTTATATATTTGCAAAATATATATATATAAAATTTTATTCATGTATCATTTTTTTTTTTTTTTTTCTATTAACAAACAAAACAATGTTTATAAATCAAGGTAAAAAAAAAAAAAAAAATTAAAATTTTATTAATTAAAAATAAATTATTATATATATATATATTTTTTTTTTGGTATTTAAATGGGTTAAATTATTGATATTATTATTCAAAAAAAAAAAAAAAAAAAAATTTTATCTACTATATATAGCGTTTATTTTTTATAATAAACGTTTTCTTCTTCTTCTAAAACTAATAATTTAAATTTAATATAATATTTTATATACCTGAGAGTACCCCCAAACTTATAAAATGTAAAATTTTAATTATTATATTAAATTTTACGATGCCAAAGAAAAAAAGAAAAGGTATATATATATATACCCTGGAAGAATATTTCTTCGGTAGCTATTTAGAAAAAAAAAAAAAAAAAAAAACTTTTTGTTGTTGATAATATTATTAATACATAAATAAATAAATTTAATATATATATATATATAAATAAACAGTGCAAATAAAAAATTGTATTATTATTATTAATATCTCATGGCTCAATTTTTTAAAACCGATTTCTTCTGACGGCGCATTTAATTTAATGAATAATCGTAAAAATTATTTTTTAAAAAATAAAATGTGTTGTTATTATTATTATTAACAAAATCCTAATTGTTAATAATAAAAAAAAATTATTGTTAATCGTATATAAAAAAAAAAAAAAAGAAAGTAAACAAATTCAAATTTAAAAAATGAGGGATGGAAAAAAATTTTTTTTATTGTTTTGGATAAATTAATATTTAATTTTTTGGTTTTTCGATCCCTTAATTTCCTCCTTTTAATAATTTTTCATAAGTTATTAAGGGTGTTAATAAAGACTTTATTAAAATGATTAGGTTCAGGTATTCAGGTATAAATAATTTATTTTTTGTACTAGCATTCTAATAAAATTATCTTTTAATAATAACTTACTTATTTTAAAATTTCAATGAATTGATTATATAATTATTTAATGTATTTTTTACTCGTTACAAAAATTTAATTTTAAGGTAACACTCTTTGTAATATATATATATATATATATATATAGCAAAATAATAATTTAAAAAACAACAAAAAAATTAAAATGAAAATATTTTATAATCTATATTTACAAAATTACATATACAAAAAATATAAAAGTGATGTTAATTAAACAAATTATTATGTTTTGTAAGGCAAATAATTCGCAACTTAGTTTAAACATTTATTATTACATATTGCTTTTTTTTTTTTTTAAGTTAAGCATCATTTAGTCTGGTAAAAAAAAAAAAAAAAAAAAAATTTATTTTTTTTTACCAGACTAAAAGTATTAGAATTTATAAATAATTTTTTGAATATTTCTCCAGTTAACAATAGTTCATTATTTGACAGCCACTATTCACATGATCCAAAACTTGGCCCTTAAGTTGACATACTTCATCTTTTAACTTAACAACAAAAGCACTTAAATCATTGTTTTCTCCCTTCAACAATTTTACTTTTTCTTCCAATTTTGCTATTCTTTCAAGTTTTCTCCTTCTACATTTAGATGCTGCAACTCTGTTCCTCATTCTTTTTCTTTCTAATTTAATTATTTCTTGGTTTTCCATGTCAATCGGTGATAAGTTTGGAGAATCTGACATATTTGGTACTGTTTGAGGTTCATCTTTAATTACCACATCAAGAGGGGAAAGAGTATTAAATGTAGATGTTATGGGAAGGAATCCACCCACTTGTCTTGGATCTATTTCTGCGAATGTTGCTATAGAATTATTACTGCTACTGTTGGATATATCGACAGCCTGATT